TGGATTTAAGAAAAACTTAGTTCCTGAAAAAAAAGAATCAAACAAACAAGACATGTGAGTTTTCTAAGGAGTAATAATTATTGCACGACACACGCAGTCACACAAATGTGTAAACATATCGATCTAGTCATCCGACTAGTTATATGCTCACGCAGTCAGTCACACAAATGGCATGTCACCAGCACTCAGCAACTCAAGCAAACAATATCACTCAAATAATCACATTTCACGTGGAAATGGTCAGTTTGAGTCAACCGAACCCCGATGAAGGCCGTCCTCGCACATCTCATCCTCTCGACGATGTTGCAACCAGGACCGATCCCCATACTGGCCGACCGGTCTAATCCTCATGACCAGCCCTCTCATTGTTTCTATCCTTCTTTTCTTTTTTAATACAACAGGAGCAACCCTGGTCTCCCATCACAACTCAGATCATCAAAAGCGCTCACAACAGGAGGCCACCCTTGCTGGCTGCAAATCAAAATCTAGAACGTCCGTCCAAGCGACATACAGCCAACCCGTGTTAACGGTAACGATAACGGTAGGTGGCACAGGGGGCGCCGATCTCCCATTTACCGGCTAACGGTAATGATCCATCATAACATAACGGTATAATAACGGTAACGTAAATCAGGATCCATCCATGCTTTTTCGACCGTCCTCACAAACCCATGGTGACCCACTTCATCCCAATTCCACACAATCAAAGCACGGCAATATCACAACACAATTAATCAAACATTGCAGTCAAATGCAAACATATTGATCGATTAGACATTATAATGCAATGCGTGATTAAACATCCAAAATCAATGCGGATAGATAAATAAATAATAGTATTGACAATAAACAACAATAATAATAAAATAAATAACGATAATAACAATAAGGATGAAAATAAATAAGTAAATATGTAAATAATGAAATCTATAATAAAGATAATAAATAATCAGAGCACATTAATGTAACCAAATTATAGAACTACTAAGTAAACTTATAAGTTATTTTATTAAAAAAAATTTCAGTCTAGTTCTACTCAAAAATTCGGCAGACCTCCCTAAAAAATCGACTATCCCTAGCCTGCTCACATATCACAAGTATCAATTAATCGTCCTTTCCTCAATCACACACAGCCCATCCGTCGGGCTAATTCAATCAATTCTAAAATCATCCTCTTCCATAACAACAATTCAACCAGTCTTTACAAACTAATTCTAATAATATCCATATGAGATCATTTATTAAGTCATTAATTAATTAAATTATTAGCTTTACGGTAACTAATTTGTTAAACAGCTAAAACATATTTTAACCATAACTAATTATAACTACTACCTATAAAAATTCAATTTTTTTATATCAATATCGAAAATGGCTAGGCCTCCCAAATCTTAATTTATCGAATTTCGATTCTAGTCGTTAACCAACTAAAATTCGCCTTATTTCTCTTATGCACAATCGGCTAGTTTTAATCTAATGGTTATCTAATTGACTAATTAACTAATTCTAATTTATTCTTTCTCCTCAAATCACCTAATCATAATATTAATCATGTAATTTATTTGACAATGTTCTAAACTAATTTACAATTACATTATTCTAAAGTCCTAAACCAGTTAACAAATTATGTTCGCTATCCAAATACGCACACTAATCAATCTAATTTATTTACAAAAGACCATAAATGTTCATATATTTTTAAGTTAATCCAATAAGTTAATGTCTTGTTATTCAATTTAGTCTAGTTAATAACTCAATTAAATTCATTAATCAATTAATGCTTTATATATAAAAATTGAGAATTAAGTCTTAGAACGTACCCATTGGGAATCGGGCGACGATTCCATGATTAGCGGGAAGAGAAGAGGATTCTGTCTCTCGGGGCCTCGCCGGAGCGCCGCCGGCCGGTCACCTGACCGCCGCCGCCGACCGCCGTGCACGGTGTGGTCGGAAATTCAAATCATCACCAAAATTAACAAACAATCTATCATTTTATTTGTTTCGATGAGAGGATCATTAATATGTATTCAAATCAAGGTGGGTACGAACTATTTGGCCGGAAATTGATCGGAAAGGTTCGGTGATACCCATTTTGGGCTGTTCTGCACCACGAATCCCAGCCAAAAATTAGAGGATCGATCGTCATGATAATTAACACTAGAAATGGAATCTCATTGGAGTAAGTAACTTTGCATCCAGTACGAGTAAGTATTGCCAGTGATCATTTGTGTACTAGTTCTGGGTTCGGTTGTAAGACTTGTCATTTGAGAATCCGGGACACCTCGTGCCACGGCGGTTACCGAGTGCTGGATCGCGTGCCGAGCTAGCCGGCTGTTGACCGGGCACCAGACGGCACTCTCCTCCACCACCGGCGATGGCCCGAGAAGACAGGAACAATCCTCCTATCCCTATCCTGCGTGTCGCTGACTCATTGCGAATAACAGTCGTCTCGATTCTGCCCCTAAAATTGGTCTACGGTCAACAGTGAAATAAGGAAACGTGAAAGCAATAATCCTTCTAAACATTACTAATATTGATACTAGAATGCAGAATTTGGAAAGATTGTACTAGAATTGTTGGTCACTTGTAACTCGACGTTTATGTAACTAACTACGACTTCCAAAATTCTGAGGATAAACACCAAGAAATTATTTATTGACCTAACTTAAAAAATATATGACTTTATAATCTTTTGTACGCACAGTAAAACCGGTTCGTAGAATCGGACCTTTGAATAGATGGAAGAGAGGAGCGACTGATTTCGCGAGTGAGAGGGAGCAGCACCTCCATCGTCGCCGTACTTTTGATTGATCTGGTGGTCTCGATCGGACGTGAAGGGAGGCTAGAATCGTGAACCACTCGACGACAAAACGAACGCGATCGCCACTGCCAATGTCGAATGAAGTGTGGCCGGAAGCGTACGCAAGGTGAAGGGCCTGTCGCGGCCATCCCGGAATGAAGGAGAAGGAGAAGGGGAGGAGGGAAAGGAAAAGAAAAGAGAATAAAGGAAAGATAATAGTGGCTTCTAGACCAGTCCCGGTTCGCATTTGAACCGGTTTGGTCTGATTTAATGGGTTGGCTCTCATTTTAATTTGGTTTGTCGATTTTCCACTCGATTGTTCGGATTATTCGTGGGTTTTCGACAATTCAATTGTATTCCGGTCCGGTTCGATTTATATATATTGTTTTAGTTGGGTCCAATAAAACATTCTTCAACTTACCTTCTAATAATAACATACAATAATAATAACACTAAATATATTTAGCGAATAAATTAAGTGTTAATATATAGCATTCCATTTATTTCATCAACAAATTTTCGGACAGGTCTGTATTGGGCGGCCCCAATTCAAATTCAAAATTCAAATTCAGGCTCAAGTTAAACTTGCAAAGTCTTAACAACCCATACTATCAAAATTCGGGTTTTTGATTTAATAAAAATTCCAAAGTTTTGAAAATAAATTTTCAGGGTATTTCAATTTCTTTCAAGGAAAAATGGTGGGTTAAATTAACTCATAGACTCGTATTATAATTAAATATTAGGCATTTTGTCCCACAAGGACTATATATAATTCATAATTTATACTCAATGAAATTTGAAATATTCTAAAATATTTTTAGGTACGATCAATTAAAAGATTTTAATTAGAAATACTAAAATATTCTCCATCGTTACCAATTAAAAGGTTTTACTCGAAAATTCTAAATATCTTTAATATGACCGATTAAAATATTTTAATGAAAAATAAATGAGCTACATCAATTAAAATATTTTAATTAAAAACATATAATATTCTAAATTATAGAAAAGATAATAATATACATCTCTTAGAGTTTTTTTTTTTTTTTTTTTTTTTTTTTTTTTTTTTTTTTTGGGGAGGGACCAGCCTTAAGAGTTTTAAACATAAACTAATTTATAAATACCTAAATTATGAAAATATAAGTTAATGTGAGTATTTTAAAACCATTAATCCAAACGCATAGCTAATAAGAGTTTAATAAAGTATGGTCAGAAATATCATATGAGTGAGTATATATATATTAAAATACTTGAATATTGAGTATAGATTGATTGTAAGTTTAGATAAATTTTGTAGTGAATATTAAATCAGATGTAATAATATCAGGTTAAAATTAATTAAATAAAAACTATTAGATTAAACTAACATTGTTGCAGAAGAGAATAGGCCGAATTTAGTTGTTAACGCTAAAGAATTGGATAAATTAGACTTGGGGCGCACCCATTTTCAAATAGTCGATATAAAATCGATTTTTAATAGTAGTTAGTTATATTAGTTAGGAAAATGTTTTAGCTGTTTAAAAATTAGTTACCGTAAAGCTAATATTTAATTAATAAATGACAATAGATTTAAGGAAAATTAGTTTAAATTTTTTAGTTTGACTGTTGGATAATTGTTTTATCGGAAAGAGTGGGATTAATTGATTGGATTGCGAGGTGGCCTTGTGCCTGTGATTGAGAAAGAGCTATGATATGGATATGTGAGCGTAGATAGTCCGATTTTTAGGGGAGGTGCTGCCGAAATTTGATAGAAACAGACTAAATTTTTATTAATAAACAAATATAAAGTTACTTAGAGTGTTTTAATTTGGTACATAAAAATCCGGTGCCTGATTGTTTATTATTTTTTTTTTTTTTTTTTTTTTTTTTTTTTTTGGAGGGACAGCTCTTAGAGTTTATATAAACATAACTAATTTTATTAAATATCCTAAATTATTGAATAATTATAGTTAATGTGATTTATTTTTAAACCATAATCCTAAACCATAGCTAATTAAGAGATTTTAATAAAAATATGTAATATTTATTATTTGAGATCTTAATTTATAATTAGTTAATATAATATTTAATTATAAATTTTTTTAATATTACTGGATAGTGATCTTTTTAAAATATATTCTAAAATCTAGATATTAAATATCTAAATCCAGTTAACTTTTACCTTTTAATTTCCTATAACACAAACCGTGAGATTTTTTATGGTAATTACGAATTAGGCCTCAAATGCTGTCACTTTTTCTCCCCTGCAAGTAGTTTCTTCGTCTCCCTTCTCTGCCAAGTCTCTCGTCACATCAGTTATCACTCAGCAGTCTCCACTCGCCGGACACGACCTCCGATGCTTTTAACTATTCAGAAGTCGTAACAGTTAGTTTCATTTCTTCGTTCCATTGGTTTTCTCCACCGGCAACTACAAGCCACCAGCGGTACTCTTCTGTCTCCGTAACTCCTTATTTTATTCATTTAAAATTGGAGAAATTACGAAATAGAGAGTACACGTTATATTTAGATTGAAAGAAAATAGGGTACTGTTCGTAAAGGCGTTGGTAATTGGCAGGTGGAGGTTGTTGTTGCAGCTGCTTCACGGGGCATGCTCTTGAGTTCCGCTTTGAAGAGATTTTGAAGGTTCTTTCTTTTATTTTATTAAATCCTTTTGTTACGGGGAAACTTTTTCTGTGGTCTGAATCCTAGTTTTGATTATTTGTTTATGTGTTGTATCCGCCAAATGGTAAAAATGGTCCTCTCCTTTTGGCTTATGAATGTGATTCTGAGTTGATTGAAATTAGCTTTTGAAACCAACTCTGCAATTCGGTTTATCTCTTTTTGCTCATAGGTATAGTGATTATTGTCTTGTTACTGATCCTGTAGAAACATTTGCTGCTCAAAAAAAAAAAAAAAAAAAAAATTGAAGAGAACTTGCAAATTCTGGTTATCTCTCCTTTGTTTGGCTTCAATAGGGTATTGAAGCGGTGCCATTATTGTGAATCTTGTGTATTAACTTGTACACTTAAGAAAACATTTTGTGGAGCTGCTGCACGAGAAAAAAAAACAAGAGAGAGAGAGAGAGAGATGAGGGGATTTTTCAATTGGCAACGCTACCATTAACGTTCCTGACTTTTTGTTCTCAAGTGATGAATGAGAATATATAGCGTGCAGCTAAAAAAAAAAAAAAAAAAAAAATGAGGGATTTTCATTGCAACGCTACCATAACTTGATTTTGTCTCAGGAAATAAATTATAGTGCTGTCTAAATTTTCAACTTCTTGATAAAGCCAGTTTAAGAAGTGCTTAAATATCTGGTGAGTTGTTTTTATTTATTTATTTGGTTTGATTGCATTGGTCGAAAGATAGACGACAGTTGATAATGGTATATGATGGTAGTCATTTTGTTTGCTTTCATTTTGAAATCTGGCTCATTTGAAGAAAATTGCACATCTGATAGTGGCGTCTTGTCACCAAGGTGTAGATTAGAACCCATTTTGAAAGTAATCTGACTTTTTTGCTTGAACTAGAGAGTAGTCTCACTTTGCCTCATCAATTGGCAGCAAACGAAAAGCATGGACTACCTTTCGAATGCATTTTCTGTGTTGGACCTTGATGCTGAAGATGATCAAGTGGATGTTGTAGCTTCTCCCTCCATTTCTACTTCCTCCAAAGCTACACCAGTCTCTACAAATAACACAGGTACTGATGCGACGATTCCTTGTATGCAGTCATATAAACAAATTGGATGCTGTTAGGGTTGAGGTTCATATACCACTGCATGCTTGAGAAAGTTCTAATTTGGTTTAGGTTATTTCTTGCCTATTTGGAGCTTTATTTCCCAATGGTTGCTTACAATGTTAACACTGGGTTTAGGTTGTTCTTCTTGGCCTATGGCTGTGTGAGTGTAAAGTTTTTATCTGTGATTATTTTTTGAAATTATTTATTAGAAATTCAGTTGTTTCTTCTCATTTGGTTGATAAGACATCCAACTGGCATTGAAGGTGATAAAATATTTTATTTGTACTCAAGTTGCTTGATAATTGATATTTCTCTTTGACTGAACAGAAAGCAGTAGGAACAAGCTAAATGGATCTGTCTCTGGTTTGGGGTTAGAAAAAGAGAAACAGCATGAACAAAATCTAGTCACATCTTCAACAGCGTACAAAATGCCTCTTGTTTGGATCGACATGGAAATGACCGGTAACTGTGTCCATTATTTTATCTTTGCGTTCTTCCCTGTCGTTGACCAAAGAGCAAAGCCATAAACGAATTTTTTTGAAAAATGATTTTAAATTGGCGTGTATATATATATATATATATATATATTTTTTGAACAAATGATTTTTAAATTGGCGTGTATATATAATATATATATATATATATATAATATATATATTTTTAAAAGATTATGTTTATCTTTCTCAAAATACTTTGTGTGCACGGGGTAAATAATTCCTGTCAGCACTGGGGCAGCTACCCTAAGGCAGAATGCAGGATGTATGGTTATCTGGAATCCTGGCTGTTTTATGTTTTTTCATGATTGCGATTCTATCAGATGGTAATATAAATGTCTTGTTCTTTGCCGCATATAGTTATTGAACTTGTTATCAAATATTTTATTATATCAATTTTCAAGTTTTGTATTTTTTATATATATTTTAAAAGATTATGTTATTCTTTCTCAAAATCTTGTGTGCACGGGGTAATAAATTCCTGTCAGCACTGGGCAGCTACCCTAGGCAGATGCAGGATGTATGTATCTGGAATCCTGGCTGTTTTATGTTTTATGATTGCGATTCTACTAGATGTAATATAATGTCATTGTTCTAATTGCCCATATAGTTATTGACTTGTTATCATATTTTTATTATATCATTTTCAGTTTTTATTTTTCCTATCTGGTTTGAATGGGGGAAAAAAAAAAAAACATAATCAATAGGATTGATAGTCATGCAATAAAGTGCCTTTTGATAATATGAGTTTTGGTTACTGTGCATCGTATTTTGGTTTAATTGTAAACAATATTACAATAGTATACTTCAAATTCTATGCCCATGTTAGATGAAAACTACCTGAATCACAAACATTATGATTAGTTCAACCAAGTAGATGTTGCACAAGAGTATGACGAAACAGAAACTCAATTAAGCATGGATGCATGTAAAGGTTACAATGGCAAGCCTGAAGTTCCACTCTCTAGTTTAAACAATGTTCTTTGTTAGATGGCATGCTGAAAGTTTCTTAGTTGAAAGAATATGCTGTGTCAGATGGCATGCTGCTTTGCCATTGAGCTCAAACATGTTAGATTTGTTGATGCAAGGTAAGATTTTATGAGGGGAAAACCAAATTTTCCCTTTGAACTTTGATACTTCTGGTCAATTGAGTCTCCTTGAATTTGAGCTAATTGAATCCTTGAACTCTTATTTTTAGTGAATTGAGTCCTTAATGGAACATCGTTTAAGGTCACTGTTAGACACATTATTAAAGTTGTTGTTATTAAATGAAATGAAAAGAATATGGGCCCAATTTACATGTAATTTAAGGTTAAGTGAGCTATTAATGATGGCGAAATTAGCTTCTCTCTTCTAAGTCAATAAAAATGACCCCTAAGTTTGTGAAGTAGGTTCCACTTAACTGTCTGTTACAATCATGCGTTCAATGAGAATTCAATTGATTAAAAATAAGAGTTTCAAGATTCAATTGGCTCAAATTGAAGTAAGAGGACTCAATTAACCAAAGCATTAGAATTCATGGGGGGCAAATTGGGTTTTTTCAGTTCTTTTACATAATTGTGTTATGCAGTTGAAAAAGAGGAAAAAGAATGAATGAAATAATAGTAAAAGGAGAGGGAAACATAATGGGGAAGAAGATGGAAGGCAGCAAAATGTGAATTAGCGTCAAATCCTATATCTGTTCTTCTCACCAAACAACATTATTGGATTACGGAACTTAGAAAGGGTGCTTCCATATAGACATTGGAGTCAACTCCAAAATAGAAAAAAAAAATTGTAACAAGTAAATACCTACGTAGAAAAAACTCTTAAATAGAAGGATTGAAGCTCGCTTTTCCTGGGAAATATCATCTTAGGAAAGAAAATTTGTAATAATAATAAGGAAGAAAATAAATTCCTTAGATAATATTGAAACTCCTAATACATTAAAACTATGCTTTTGCTGAATAAGATCATCTTATAGAGGAGATTAATTTACTCATATTAGTAAAATGAAAAGTCTTGTGAAAAATCAAAATTTTCAAAATGTAGTGGGAAAAGGTCCTGATGTTTTTCTCCCATGTATGTGCTTTGCCTTAAGGGTTTTACGTTATCTATCAAATACCATACAAGTTATAGAAGTGATTTTTCATTGTGTTTGAAATGTTTGGTGTGTTTATTTGCATTGAATGTGCTCATAAGCACAATGCTGAGCATAAGTTTGTTATTGTTGTTGATTTTTGTGCCACTTACATTATTTGTTTGAACAATTATGTGGTTATTAGCTAGTACAATGATGTCAAAACAAGAATGCAAATATTTACTCTTTATTTTGCTTGCACTGTTGCTCAGGTTTGAATATTGAAGTTGATAGAATACTGGAGATTGCTTGTATTATCACTGATGGCAATTTGACTAAATCGGTGGAGGTATTTTGGACTGTTTTATGATGCTTGATTTATGGCTTTGTTTTGTGTTTATTTAATTGCATTCGTGTTTGAATCTTGAAATGGTTTGTGATTTTCATAGCAAAATATTGCTGTTTGTTGAAACTACTGTAACACAATCATGGAATGGACCACACAACCCTTTCTATTTTTTTTTTTTTTTTAAAATCTCAGAAATCTGCTTCTAAATTGAGTATTACAATTTACAACCCTTCGTATAGATACTAAAATCCTACTAGAATAAGGCCTTAAAATTCTAATAGAATAAGGTTGTGAACATAACATCCTAATAAAATAAATTATTGAACATCAAATCCTGATAGAAACAGTATGACAATTCTAAATAAGTTTGACTAAAAACACAATAACCTTAACTTGAAAATTTGCTATAATAGTGTGAACAGTATCACAAACAAAAACTTTGCTCCCGCGTCAACTTATTCTCTAGGAAGCTACATAGTTGTAATGCGACCCATTCCACAATTGTTTCAGCATGTGGTAAATTATAACAGATTTTATAAACTGGCATACATTTGACAGGTTTCAGCTTGCCCAAGCTTGTCCTCCTAAAAAATCACACGATTGTGACAGGAGAAAGTCCTTGTTGGGACAAGCTTATCGTGTCCCAAAATGCACTAAACACAAGATAAGGAGGATTTGTCCGTCAAGTTGTATGTAGCAAATGGATGAAGCCAAATTTTCTACCTAATTGTTTCACGAGGACTCGCTTATCACCTTTGCTTTTTTTTTATGTTTAAATTTAGTGTAAGAGAGAAGCCATGCCCTTGATATAAAACCTCTAACCATGTCCTTGATATAAGAGATCTATGACAATGAATTAAAATTATTCATACTACACTTTGATGATATGGAAAAGTGGCTTAGCCTTCATTTCTTAAGAATGGTTCTAGGTCAAATGAATAAATTTTGCATTTTAAATTGCATTATTTATCTTTTTCTATGTAAGCTATGTTACACTGCAATGGGCTATTTACTTTCAATTAAACTTGAATGTTGTGAAGCATAGTTTGTAAACAAAGTGTTTGAATATGTTTGTACGCTTAAATCTGCTATGTTATTTGAACCTAATTATGTTGCACTAGTCATGCTTGTGCCATTGTGTTTGATTTGGTGTCATCTAGGTATGATGCATTCTAACTCATTTTCAACATTGTCTCCAATCTTAGGGTCCAGATTTGATCATCCATCAAAGTAAGGAGTGCTTGGATCAGATGGGAGAATGGTGTCAAAGTCATCATGCAGCTAGTGGTAAGAAGACAAACGATAAAAAGACAACTTACATGCTTTCTTCAATGAAATTTAACAAGTTCGCAAATTGTTCTAGGTTTGACAGATAAAGTGCTGCAAAGTTCAGTGAGTGAAAGGGAAGCTGAGAAGCAGGTTTGCAAGATTTTTCTTAAGTTGAATGGATGTTTTGGCATATATTTTAGACAGTTGATATGGTTTATTGTGGTTATTAGGCCTTTAGTAACTGTAAGTGATTATGTGAATGATTCTGGCTAAAGCGATCAATTATGGAGCTAAATTAATTAGCTTGTGGGCAGATTTTTCCTTTCCTTTTTTCTTTATTTTTGGTTGTGCTGAAAAAAGTGTTTCACATGGTCTTTTGATAGCTTTAAGAGATTTTTGTTATGTTGTCTTCTTTTAAATGGTTTTGAGATAAATTTTCACTTGCCTTTCCACGATGATGGAATGGCAGATTGAGACATACCATCAATGTCTCTGGTGGAGCCATGCATTATGTCTAATTTATCTAGGTATACAGTTGTAAACTTGTAACAAAATCAAGTGTGCCTTGATTAGTCATCTTGCTTTTTAAGTTAGATATGTCTGATACAATTATTATTATCTGAAATTTATGGTCAAAGTCCATTTCATGATAGTCATTTTTACAAGCTTCGTCAGAGTTCTGAATGTGTTGTCTCAAATAAGTGATGAAAAGAAAATGATATTTCTGTTCAGTTTATTTGTTTTGTGGTTTTTCCTAGTGGTTGGATGGATGCTTTGAAGATTGGTAACTTTGGTCAATTTGATTATATAGTTCCTGTATTTAATCTAGTTTTGAATTCCTCTTGCAAATTTTTAATTTATTTTTACCTGGCCTTCTCAGGCCACACTTGCACATTGTGCCTATGCTCTAAGTTTTGTTTTGGGGTTAAGAAAAAGGAGGGAGGGTGGTGTAAGTTTACCCCCTTAACACTCCTCCCCATTTTAACTGTGGTTGACTATTGATTATGTATCAAAGACAAAGGATTATGCTTATAATCACTCTTCTTGTTGGGGCTATTGACCAAAAGCGTGATTCTTATTATACTGGATGATGAGTGCTCAGATCAAGTGAACTTGCTGCAGAAGTTTGACCTTAGCTACATTTAGCACTGTGGCAGGCTACCCCTTATGCATCCTGGTCGCTGACATCCTTGTTACATGATCCTTTATTCCTATCCATCTGTTGATTCCTTTCTAGGTTTAAAAGAAATCTATCGAGTGTATTTAGAGAGAACCACTGCCCTTGATTAGCAAGGACATGCTTGCCTGAAGCAAGCTGCTTTAATATTGCACTTTCTGATTACATGATGCATGGATGATATGAGCTATCTGAGTGACTATTTATTTGTTTTACCATATGTGTAAAATCAGGCTTTTGAACTTTATACATATAGGGAAAAGAATCTAGGATTTGTAGCTTGTCTGGGTATTGAGTTGGCCTGCAGAGAAAAGGATGGCTGGATGTGGGAAACCATTGTGCTGGTATATATGGGTAGTAGTAGAATCTAGAGTTTCAAGGTAAGAGCCTTTTTAGTAAAAGGAGCTTAAAATTCGCTGCATAAGATGTTATAGAACTGCCTCTACTGTTGGGCTTTGTACCACCATGAAAGGATAAATTCCAACCATCTTGCATTTTGTTAGACACTGCGATAAATGATTGATTGTAGCTTCAATTTTGCAAGTCTGACAAAAACCAAAAGGTGCTCAATTTGCTGAATGCTACATGGGAAAACATGTTTTTTATGAGTTTATTTGGTAGAGCACCTTGCCTTATTTCACACTCCAATGCAATCCACACAAAGTGTTAAACACTGTGCCTATCAGCTCCAATTGGCTCTTCCAATTTCTTTTTGCTAAACCTTGGCTTTATAACTGATCTTGATGCGAAATTTGTCATTCAAGTGTTGTACGCAGATTATGCATCATAGAGTTATTGTGTTCTATTCTTCCTGTGTTTCTGTATTTTCAGCTATTTTTGAGAGTGAATGTTTTTTAAATTTATTTCTTGCTCTTCTTTCTTTCTTTCTTTCTTTTTTTTTTTTTTTTTTTTTTTTGGCTCTTTCATTTCTTTTTTGCCTAAGCCTTGGCTTTAATAACTGGATTTGATTTGCGAAATTTGTCATTTCCAAGTGTGTCGGCGATTAAAATGCCATCATAGAGTTTATTGTGTTCTATTCTTCCTGGTGTTTCTGTATTTTCAGCTATTTTTGAAGAGTGAATGTTTTTTAAATTTAATTTCTTGCCTCTTCTTCTCTTTTCTTTCTTTATCTTTTTTTTTTTTTTTTTTTTTTGAAAAAAAAAAATTTTCCCTCTTTTGAAATACAAAGTGAATAATGTTTTTAGATGTAAGTTTTTTTTTTTTTTTTTTTTTTTGAAAAAAAAAATTTTCCCCTTTGAATACAAGTGAATATGTTTTAGATGTAAAGATCATTCTTGATAGTATATAATGTTTGCATTGGCATACGAGTGAATGGTCATGTTTCTTTTTCCTTCCATTTTAAATCTACTAGGATCTAATTATTTTAAGTTTCCTTGCTTTAGCATTGTGTCCTCATTTTGTATAAAGTAATTTCAGACCGTTGCAATCTTGTTTGTTGCTTTGGTTTTTACCTCATAAGATAATGTAATCATAGGTTTGGTTCTACAAATCAAAGTATGCTATAATATAATTGTGCTGGAATCATGCAGGTTATTGAATTTGTCAAGAGACACATCGGTACATACACCCCACTTTTGGCAGGAAACTCTGTGTATGTGGATTTCCTATTCCTAAAGGTATCTGAGAGAAGTTTATACTTTACCTTTCCTCTATTGTGCATAATATGTGTGATTAATGCATTATTGTGGTCATTAGCTATTCATCCTAATTCTACCATGGATCCTTATTTTCTGTTTGCTCTTTCATTATTTGAAAGCATAAAGTATGTGCTACATCCATCCTTATATTGCACATTCTCCCAGCAGTGAATAATCATTCTCCAACTTCTATTATTTTAATTCTATATAGTTTCATTGTCCTCTTTGTAACCAATTTTTTATCATTTTGCAGAAGTACTTGCCGGATTTGGCTAGTCTCTTCTCCCATGTCGTCGTTGATGTTAGTAGTGTCAAGGCATTGTGCATTCGTTGGTATCCCAGAGGTAAAAATCTACATTACCATGCTAATTCTGAAATTTAGTTCTGTAACATCCATTATTTATCACGATTGCAGTGGGTGGATGAGTGCTGCAAGCATTCATCTATCAGCTTATATTCTTATAGTTGTTAAATTGAAGTAATATTGCTTTTTACTTGGAAAGAAATGCAATTAACGGAGTTCAGTTACAATTTGACTAACTGTTAGTTTTGAGTCACTCATTTTCTCAAAAAGAGAGAACTGAAATTCCTTTGAGGTTAAGAATATTTATCTGATAAATTTATACTACCTATATGTTTATGCACTTCCAGTTCAATTAATCATCAGTTCTAAAACTGAAAATATTTTGCTGAACTCAGCGGTTGATTTCCCCAATTTTTTGATTGATTGTTCAGTTTCAGGTTGGTCCTTTTTTTTACTTCATCTTTTTTTTTTGTTTGTTTTTTGCCCAACCTTAGTTTTGAATGTACCAGTAAATTCTGCGATACTCTCCACTCTCTAGGGTGTTTATGGGATTCAGCGTAAGGCTGCTGTGAGTTACAATAAACCAAGCTAGCTAATTCTTACAGATCTTGAGAGATTGAAAATGTTGAGTGATGATTTCCATTCTTCTTTTCCCTTCAATCGTGGACCTCTTCTCTTTTTTTAGTATCGTTTCAGAAATCTCCATTAAATCTTTTACATGCACAGACTATCAAAATTTTCTTGTTCTGTATCACTACAACTACCAAGTCATTCAGTTATGCTTGTCTGCATTTGAGCTCATACATGACGGCTCAGAAATGCTTAAGATCTTAAAAGCTTGAATAGCGTTTTTCATGTCAAACAGATCAGAAGCGAGCGCCTCCAAAGGAAAATAAACATAGAGCAATGGATGATATTAGAGAGAGTGTTAGGGAGCTCAAATATTACAAGGAGAACATATTTAAGGCAAGGTCCAAGAAGTGATCTTTAAAGCATCAGTATATGTAAAGAGGCTTGCCATATTTAAATGTATTTTGGGTTGAAATGTTCTTTTTCAATACATGTAATTTAGTTCCAACAAGCTCAGTTTCTGTTTGCATGGATTATGCATCAATATTTTTCATTACGGGGTGAGCATATGTTTGGTATGATTTGAAAATTTTTTAAACCTATCGAACCTAACTGAACTGCAAATTTTTATTTAGGATTTTTTAGGTTTAAATTGATTAATATGATGAAACTCAAGTCATATTGCCTTATTAAGCTATTAACTGTTCAGTATTTTTTTTGACCATAAATGTTCTAATTGATTCAAGTATTGGTGCTTTTTTATGAATTGCCATTTGCTATGCTAACTTGCGTTTGCTGCAAAAAAAATTTACATAATTTTCAGAAGAATTTAATGTCTTTTTTAATAGCTAGTCATATGAAATGAATTTGAATTTGTATTGGACTTTTAATCAGCATGACATTTAATATTAAATGTTTTATGATTTTAAATAACTAGAGATCAAAGTGAATTTTCATAAAAAATTTGTAATAGATTCATATGAAATTTATTTTATGTAATCATGTTAATTCATAAATGAACTTTCTATATTTGAACTAATTGTAAAATTAGTTCTAAACATGTAACTTTACCAGCTTGTACTTTAAATTTATTAGCTTCAGTAGTCACTCATTTCAATTTAGAATTCAATTTTCAAATTTTATCAATTTTAGTAAAATTAGTTTCAACATAACTGGTTTCATAGAATCAAAAATGTAGAATTCCAAATGAATTTTTTGAACTAATTGTAAAATTAGTTCTAAACATGTAACTTTACCAGCTTGTACTTTAAATTTATTAGCTTCAGTAGTCACTCATTTCAATTTAGAATTCAATTTTCAAATTTTATCAATTTTAGTAAAATTAGTTTCAACATAACTGGTTTCATAGAATCAAAAATGTAGAATTCCAAATGAATTTTCATTCATACCAAAAAATTTTATAGAACTTTATAAAATTACAAGTTCTAGTGTATTTTGATATCAAAGAGTGGAAGTGTTGAACTCAACCCAACTAAACAAATATCCGGCTAAGCATGTATAAATATAAATAGATAGAAATTGCAGAGCATATAAAGTTGAGAGGCTAATCAACCCATAACATCCATCAAACTGTGGAGCAAAATACAATTATTACAAACGTTAGTTCTCAAATATCCATAGTCGATATGGGGGAATAACTGCAAATGTGACTTAAAACGTTGTCAAGATGCTATCTTACTAACCTAGTGATATTACATGAAAGATTTAATCATAAAAAAGCATTAAGTCAAAATCTTCTGCTCTTTTACGACACTGCGATGCTAAGCCCCATCTGCTAATGTCCTCTTTGACGTACTAATGTACAGAACTGCAATAAAAGATTATTGTTACTATTTTATTAAAAATTTAATTACTGGCTTCACTGCCATGAAGCTGAATGACAGGACATGGTAAATGGTAAGTAAATGAATATGGAATTTGTTCGTTACCATTGTTTCCGCGAATAAAAGCATCACCATATTTGTTCTTCAGTTGTCCATTAACATATTCTTCAGTTTGCTCCATTGCTATGTTCATGTATCCATCTAGACAAGCTAAAATACCTGCATAAAAGTATTTTAAGTATCAAGAAATACTGCTCAAGAGTCAACACATGCTTCTGTAATATGGCTACACGAAATGAGCATGCTAGCCAACCATAAACCTACGATAGCATGTCAGACCCAAAATCTACTGCTCTCTGCACAAAACCTCCATGAAGGACAATAAGAAAAAGAGACAAAAAACAAACATAAATTGCCTTCCATGCGCAACCTACATCCAGCTAGTTAAGGTTAAAATGGAAAAGAATTTACAACAATGGATAAGAGTAAGACACCAAAAACTTTGACTTTAGAATAACTAAAGGATCCGTCTTGCAGGGGCCAACACCCTAGTTACAAGATGTCAACTACTATTCACTACATGTTTCAAGATGCAAGGTTAGAAATTGTCTCAATTTCAACAAAAAAAGAAAAAGAAGGTTCAGAGATTGTATAATATTGATAACGCAGACACACGCATGCATGTACTTTTCATTAGAGCCATAGCAGTCATTAGGCCAGTGAAAGAAATTTTATGCTTTGCAACATATCAGAAAACAGATGAAGGGGGCACTAATCTATATCCTCTTATATGGATTGCATATTGTGTGCCCTTAATTTTACACTGTCCAAAGGGAAATAGGTAAATAAAAAATGACCATTATTTGTATAGCTTGAGTTGGCAATCATGTGTAAGCCAAATGATTAAATACTGGAACATTTATGAGTTACAGTGTTTTTCTGTGTAGACTAGTCCAATTGCATGGCAAAGAGACTTCAGTTAGTAATACAAATCAGAAAAATAGGTATGAAAGAAAAGTTGATAACAAGTAAGCGAATAAATTTCTGATCCCTTATATTATATTTTTCTTTTGCTTTGTTAGAAAAATATCGCTTCAATTGTAACATTACAACACTATCATGTTTCATATATAGCACAAGGCATTGCAACAAAAGGGCAATAAATTTGCAAGTTAAGAGAAACCTTCTAATAGAAGAATTTCTCACCTATCTCCAGTGTAACAGTATCAAACCATTGTCAGTGGAAAGAGGACAATAAAAGGACCACTGAATATGGTAGGTGTTTCATCATAGATAACAATCATAACTGGCCTATGAGCTTATAATGTAAGCATGAGTGCAACTTTCAATAGATAATTCAATTCTGAACTTTAAAAGCTATACACGACAAGTACTATATCTAACCGTATAGTCAAAACACCAGTGGAAAATTGAATAAAATTCATTGATGAAAAATAAACAAATATAAAAGTAATAATATGTGAATAATAGAGAGATTAGAGATTAACCTCGATAATCAACACCAGAATTCAGTTTGACAACAACTGGTCGGCCACGAATTGATTTAAGGAAGTCTGCAGGGGTTTTTGTGGTTGTCGACCCTTTTTCTCCTCCTCCGCTCATCTCTATTTTATCTACAGTGAAGATAAGCTTCTTCCAAAACACAGCAACTGCAACAAGTTAAAGATATACCATTTTAACAAATCGAAACATGATTAAAATCCGGGAACATCAACCAACCAAAAAATTAACACGACATGTTTCTGACAATAGAGCACAATTGCTAGCTCTAAAAAAAAAAAATAGTAAAACGAGCGACTTTCCTGTGCACTTGCTTAAGCACATTTAAGAACATAAACCATAGAAAGATTCTAAACAGCATCTAAGTTTCTGCAATAGCCAAATGAAAATAGCCCTATGTAGCCCATGCAAACACCAGTACAACTAACCAAATCTAGAGCTACCATGCACCAAAGAGGGCATCACAGAGGTAAAGATCTAGGATATTCTAGTGATGTGGGTGTGATTTATGGGAGGGGAGAGCTACCCTTTGTGCAGTTCATATAATTGACACCCTTGATTCTTTCATCCACACACCCTCAAATCACCAAAAGGAAAGGATAAAAAAAAAAAAAAAAAAAAAACTGCTGTTGATCTTTCGATCTCCACACAGCCCTCAAATCACGACGGCAAAAAGGAAAGGATAAAAAAAAAAAAAAAAAAAAAAAGAGGACCCCTATCCTGGAAATTTTTCATTTGTCCAATTTTTTACTGGTGAATATCATGTATTGTTCTTCAAAGTAGCAACCTACCTACATTTGCAACAGCACTTTTCTTGCATATTTTATGGCAAGAATTACAAGTATGCTAAGTAGGTTTCACATTTTTCAATTGCTTTAAAGGACCCCAAGACAAACGACCTTTATGGCAAAGTACCATAGAAACAAAGAAGCTAACATGTGTAGACGGAAGAAAAAAAAAAAAAAAAAAAGGAAAAAAAAAAAAAAAAAAAAAAAAAAAAGGAAGCCAAGCTATGGTATAATTCACAGAAAGAAACCCAACAACAAATACAGATTAAACAATAAAAAATAGATCGTAGTTCAAAAATACAAACAAGATTGAGAGGAAGACGAAAATAGTATTTGGGAATTACCTACCGATTTTCTTGCTTGGATTTTGAACACAGACAGAAAGGGGAAACTGAATGAGCAAGCCGAAGACAGACAGCCCTATGTATCTGCACTCTGCGACATAGTATATATTTATATTAAGCGTCGTCGTTTCACAAAATAGGAGGCTTTCATTCTATTTGAGACATAAATGAAACTAATTATCGAATATGCAGTAATTATTAGTAACTATCAAATAGATATTTTTATTTTTTTAATTTATACATATATTTTCACACTCTAATTAGCTAAATCTTTTAACAACAGAGACTCGATTTTAACTATTTTATTAAGCTTGCCTTCCAATTTTATTTTTAATTTTTTATTAGGTTAGTAAAGTTAAATGTACATTTTTTTAATTTTATTATTAGTATGATAGTTTGTTACATATGCTAATAATGTTTTTATAATTACAATTATTTGTATAATTTATAAACGTGTTGATATATTTACCTTTCAAAAAAAAAAAAAAAAGTGTTGATATATTCTGTTATCCACATAACAAATTAATTTGGGCAGTAAATTTGTTTGAAATTAAGCCCAAGCCCAATACCAAGCCCAAAACATTCAATTTGCCAGGATCTGTTTATGCATCTGTCAAACTGAAGAAAATTTTATTCTTCTTCTTCTTCCTCTAAAAGAAAAGAAACGCGCGTTACGCTCAATCATGTATCGCTGAGCATTTCTCTCCATTCTTAATCATGAAACCACTCAATAAACCACTCGCTCACCGTCTCCTCGATAAATCTAAACCCAACTTGTCATCCTTCAAAAACTTCACTCTCCCTATTGATCTTGATCCACAAACACCATCACCTGATCACTTAATTAATTCGTCAGATACCTGTTTTGCCAATTCATGGAAACAATTGAATCCCACTTTAAATGTCTTTTTTTCTAATTCAAAATCTGGGTCGCTTTCAGATTCGAGTAAAGTTTCAAGCCTCGGCATTGGCAATGAACCGATCTCGAATACCCAATTGTCCAATTTATCCAAACAAACAAAATCCATATTCAGAACCTCATTTTTCTTTCAAACAAGATATTTTTCAAGTGAAAATCAAAATCCGCCAAATGGGTTTCCAACGGTTTCCACAGTTACCTCACAGCTTCAAAGCTCTGAGCCAATTGATGCAGGCTCTTCGATTCGAAAACCTATCAGTTTATGGCCTGGAATGTACCATTCACCAGTAACAAACGCTTTATGGGAAGCAAGATCGAGCATATTTGAGAAACCTGTCGATTCACCGGTTGATGGGAGTGTACAGAGTGAGTTGGTAACAAAAACTCCATCAAAGAGCAGGACTAGTATTCTTTATAATTTTTCTTCTGATTATGTACTTAGGGAGCAGTATAGAAATCCTTGGAATGAGGTTAGGATGGGCAAGTTGGTTGAAGATCTTGATGCTCTTGCTGGAACCATTTCCTATAAGGTATAAAATCCTTTTAGAAGCTGCGTATGTTGGTAGTGTCGTTGCTCTTATCTCTCAACGACTTGAGTTCTAATTAGTACGGAACGTGTATTTGATTATTTTTATTTATTTATTTTGTTAAGGTAACAATGTATAACTATGTTAATTGTTTATATTCTTTAAATTTCAAACCGGAATAATTTTGAATTGGAAATAGCCGACTCTATCTGCTACTATGGTGTTTCTAAGAGTATCCTCAACGCAGCTAGAGCTAAATGGTATGAGATTGAACTTCCATTGTGTGTATTTTCTATTAGTTTTCTATGAGACAATTACATGTCAATTTTCAAATATTTAGGAATATAGTTTTCTATTTTATACACCAAACTACCATCATCTAAATTTTTTATTTATTGTCATGATTTTAATCTGTAATTTGCTTCTTGACCAGCACTGCTGCAATGAGGATGGCATAACAAGGCCTATTTTATTGGTCACTGCTTCTGTTGATAGGATGGTTCTGAAAAAACCAATTCGGGTTGATGCTGATCTGAAAATAGTTGGTGCTGTTACATGGGTTGGGCGGTCATCCATGGAGATCCAGTTGGAGGTGACTCAGTCAACAGAAGGTACTAGCTGAATAATGGATATGTTTGTCAAATTTCACAAACGAGACTGTTTTAGATCCAAGTTTTTTTGTCATAGCCTTTGTTTGATAATCTCTAACATCTGATAACCTGGTTTATTATGCCATATGGTATTCTATAATATTGAAGTTTTTGGGAAAGTTACCGAAGAAACTAGTGCCATACAATATTAAATGATATAACTGGGCTGCTACAACTTACAACTGTAATAGTAAAGCTCATACCAGAAACGATTAGAGCTGTAGTAGTGTTGTAATGTGCTGGACATCCAGAAACCCTTCAGACATTTTCATGTGCATTTTTTTACTTCTTCTTGTCGAATCAATCATCTGAAAATACTTGAATATCATGTACTTGATTAGTCAAATCCATTATGCACATTAAGTACATTTAGCAGTGTGTACAAAGAAAATATATCCAAATGGCAGTTTCTCTTTTATGAAGGAGAATGTGAAAAGTGTTAATAAGTGTTGCCTTTTAATATAAAATTACATTGAACTCCAAATTGCTTGCTGTTACTGAAGAAGCTACAGAATAGTATAAGAAAATCATGATCCTGAGTTAGACGCTACCTTGCAATGAAGCACAATTTTGGAAGCAGGTACTATTGATTTAGAATTTGAAATTACTTTGATATTACTAGAAGAATTCCCTCTTTGTTAATTTTCTTCTCTCGCGTAGTCTAATTTCCTGTGACTCTGGCATCTTAGTGAACACAGAAGCCGTTAAACCTCTTGGTATGCTTTTGTACTCTGCAATTTCTTGACATGTTTAATGTCTACGCCTCAACAACACAACTTTAATGAGCTTGGCATTTTCCTACCATAGCATTTTAAAAAAAAAAAAAGTTCCAAGATTATATTTTCCACTCTTTAGCAATTTTTTAATGAAGAAACTTGTTTTGCAGGGGCCTCCAGTCCATCAGACTCGCTTGCTCTAACTGCAAATTTCACATTTGTGTCTCGTGACCCAAAGACAGGAAAATCAGCTCCAGTTAACCGGATCTCACCTGAAACTGAAGAAGAAAAATTACTTTGGGAAGAAGCAGAAGAAAGAAACAAAACAAGGAAAAAGATGAGAGAAGAAAATAAAATGGATGCTGAGAATAAGGACAAGGAGAGGCTCCATGCATTGCTGGCAGAAGGGCGGGTCTTCTGCGACATGCCGGCATTGGCAGACAGAGATAGCATTCTAATAAAGTATACTTGCCATCGGAACTCCTTGATCTGTCAACCACAGCAAAGGAACATCCATGGTCGCATCTTTGGAGGATTTTTGATGCGTAAAGCATTTGAGCTGGCTTTTTCAACTGCTTATGCATTTGCCGGCGCAGCACCGCGCTTTCTTGAAGTTGATCATGTTGATTTCGTTAAACCTGTGAGCTTCAATCCTTGCAATGACTGATATTCACACAATTTTTTAAAACTTCAAGTAGCATCTTCCCAACTTAGTAGATAGAACTCACTACCTAGTGAATGCTTTTGAATGTGTCTTCATATAGATAAACATTATTTAACAGTAGTTGTGCAAATACTGAATGCATAAATGATGCAGAAGAAAGTTATATATTTTACTATTTTACCTTAACGATGTAGATGAAGCTCATGGTAAGTTCAAACTTCAATTCCATTATTTCTGGAGCCTTCAGCAATATTTAGATTTACTTATGCATGCAGATAGGATTAATATTTGTGTTTACTAATGCAGGTCGATGTTGGAAATTTTCTTCGCTTGAATTCTTGTGTTTTGTACACAGAGCTTGACGACCCCACTAAACCAATGATAAATGTGGAAGTTGTAGCTCATGTTACAAGGCCTGAGCTAAGGTCCAGTGAGGTAAGCGCCTGAATTCAAATTGACAGGGATGAAATTCGATAAAGAACCATAACTCAGCTATCCAGATACTTCTCTAGGCACAAGAACTTTTTGTCAGTCACTCTCTATTCCAGTAAAACATAGTGATCCATTTCTTTTAAACTTCTATACATAACAAATGGGATAGTTGCTGATTATGCCAATTTCTAGATCATTTGGTATATCCAATTGCTTTTAATTTCCATGCCAACTTTGTTACACAATACTTACGCATCTCCATCTTCTTCCAATGCATTGTGTGCAATTTGAACAGGTATCTAACAAGTTCTATTTCACATTTACTGTCCGTCCTGAGGCCATTGAAGATGGATTGAGGATTCGAAATGTTGTTCCTGCTACCGAAGAAGAAGCTCGTCGAGTTCTGGAACGTATGGATGCTGAGAACTCCCACATTGCAAAATCATGAAAGCAGATTCACTCTCGCAGTTACTTCAACAGTCCAAATGCAAATGAAGCTTTTTTTTTTTTTTTTCTCTTTTTCTTATTACTACTCTCAACATTTTTGTTATCTGTTAGTAATTAAATTTATATGATAGGCGAATAAATCAAAATTAATAATTTATTTTAATATTGAATTAAAAATTAATGTTTAAATAAAGAAGTAATTTTAAATACCACATGAATAATAAAAAATCAGCTGATTACAGTTTCGATCTTGGTTCCTTAACAGTTCTAAAACAGATGTTTCTAGACAGTTCTTTTGGGATATAAAGGAATCAAAGGTCATGTAGTTTCAACTTATACAAATTTCATATTTTACCTCAGTCACTATTTGAACCGGTGGGAGTTCCCGCTGAGGACCCATCGGAAAGATCATGTAAATCTTCACATCCTTTGGTAAACTCTTGTGCCCTTAATTCGGCTTTGATCCAATCATCCAAGCATGATTGTGCTTCTATTAATTCAGGTGTCATCTTAGATTGTGTTTCATTTAGTATGTTTCCCTTCGCACTAAAAGCTTCTTCAACTGCAATAGTCGAAACTGGTACTGCTAAAATTTGTTTTGCTATTAATGCAAGGGTTGGAAATATATTAGTACGACGATTCCACCAATCTAGAATTGGAAAATTGTTACCTGCAAAACTATCATCAAACTCGAAAAAAGTATTAACATAATTGTCGAGCTCCAGAGTAGAACTGGAACTAGATACCCTAGATCTTCTATGTGCTTCTAATAATATACGTTCAGCAACACTGATCTTTTTGGTTGCAAATGATGGATTATGAACATAGGAAAAATCAGAAGTAGATGAACCAGAATATTGAACAAATTCTGTATATAAATCTACAATATTTTTTCTAACTTCATTTAATATAACATTTACATTAACACTATCTTCTACATCAAGATTTAACATTTCATAATAAAGAGTCAAATAATCACATAAACCGTCAAATTTACATCTAGGATCAAATACACAAGCAATAAGAAAAATGGGTGGAATATTTTTAAAATAATTTAACCATTTATTTTTCATTAAAAAAATACAATCTTTTAATAATTCATCATTTTCAAAATTTTTAAGTACATCAATAATATTAATGCATGTAGGCAAAAATAAATGAGATGTAGGATAATAAACCCTACTAAAAGTATATGTAGCATCATTAAAAACTTTTAAAATATCCAGAACTTTTGTACAAATTTCCCAATTTTGTGGATATAAGTTAACTTGTGTCACATTATTAGTAAAAAATGTGCACAATAATTCTCTATACTTAAAAGACTCGTTTAATAATTCATACGTTGAATTCCAACAAGTTGGAACATCCTTTGGAAAACGTTTTAATCTTTTATTATTTTCCTTACAAAATTTAATCCAATTTCTCATTATTTGAGGATGTCCCCATAAAAATGAAATAGCTTTTTTAATAGGAGAAATAAATGAATCAAGAACTTGTAAACCATCTTGTACACATAAATTTAAAACATGACATGCATATCTAATATGAAAAAATTTCTCACCAATATTGGGTTCACAAATTTTTTGAAGGTCAACATTTGGTGCAATGTTGGCAAAGGTATTATCTAATGAAAGTGAAAAAATCTTTTTGGTTAATTTATATTCATCTAAAATTGAATTAATCATCCTATATATATTATTTGCAGTGTATCTTTCATCAAGAATACGAAATGCAATAATTCTTTTTTGAATATTCCAATCATCATCAATCCAATGACATGTAATGCTCATATAAGAATACATTTGCCAATACTCATTCCAAATATCACAACAAATTGAAACACAAAATTTCATTTGTGAAAATAAAAGTTCTAACTCTTTTTTACCTTTTTTATATAAGGAGATAATAGTTTTTTTTACAGTATTTCTTGACACTCGTTTAGCATAAGGACTTAAAACATTTTGACAATATTGATTAAAACTTATTTTTTCACCAAAACTAAAAGATAAATGTTCCATAGAAATCATTTTAGCTAATTCTTCACTTTGTTTTTCTTCAGAATATCGAAATAAAGAAAAGTTAGGAGATATGTACCTAAAAATTTGTATTTGAGACCGATCAATTCCTATTTTTGTTGGATGTTGCGTACCTTGATCATGCTCTTGTTGTGAGTTGTCTTCATCATTAAATTTAGATTCTTGAGTTGAAACATCCATATTTTCATTTGGATATTCCTCAAAATCGAATTGTGTTTCCTCAATTTTTTCCTTGCCTTTTGTAGAACTTGAATTTCCTGCACTTGACATTATAGAATAATAATATGTAATGTGTAACTTGAGATTGAAGATATTATTTGAGAATAATTTGGATGATTTCAAGGAGAATAATTAGAGATTGGAGAAATTATTTGAGAATAATTTGGACAATAATTATAAATTGGAGTTTCCGCACTTGACATTATAGATAATAATATGTAATGTGTAACTTGAGATTGAGATTGAAGATATTATTTGAGAATAATTTGGATGATTTCAAGGAGAATAATTAGAGATTGGAGAAATTATTTGAGAATAATTTGGACAATAATTATAAATTGGAGAGTTAAGAGAGATAGGTGAGTAGAGAGAAATAATTTGGTGTGAGAATAAATGAAGATAATTGGTGGGTATTTATAGTAAATCTAAAAAATCTAATTTCCACAAATACCCTTAAAACTAGCCGTTATATAGCCGTTTATAGTTGTTAGAAGGGTTAGTTTGGGGATTTTGATAAAAAATTTTAAAAAAATAAAAAGAATGTGTTGGAACCAGTTGGACAGCCAATTTGAACAGCTGATTTGAACCAGTGAAACCACTGGTTCTAACCATTATTAATCAAATTTCAATTTTTTTGGAACCATCGGTTTGAAATGTCGATTTAAACCGTCGACACTGTTAATTCTAACTTCTTGTTAAAACTTTCAGTTCCAGTCGATTTGGACTGGTTTTCGGATCTAACCATTATTAATCAAATTTCAATTTTTTTGGAACCATCGGTTTGAAATGTCGATTTAAACCGTCGACACTGTTAATTCTAACTTCTTGTTAAAACTTTCAGTTCCAGTCGATTTGGACTGGTTTTCGGAATTACGGGTTCATAGTTCCAGTCGATTTGGACTGGTTTTCGGAATTGCGGGTTCATGGTTTTAAAATCAGTCCGAACCTCCAAATATAGTTCTGGTTCTAACCGGTTCCGGAACTGCACAGTTCCAGTTTTGGTTCCAAACTAGCAGTTCTGGTGATTTTGGTCACGCCTAATAGCTACTGAGCAATACAAAATCTACTAAGAAAATTTTAAATTCAAAGGACTGGTTCAAGAAAAGCGCAAAAGCTCAGCAAACCTGAGATTGAAAAACAAAAACAAACATAATTTATGTTAATAGCACCATTAACAGTTCTAATCAACTTCTAACAAATTTACACGGAGAAAATTTCAGAATTCAGATAGCTTCTAACAGATTTACAAGATAGATTCAACTATTCCGCGCATTAAGATTTGTATTATGTCCTCAAGTAATTCCGTTGGTATATTACACAAAATAAACAAATCCAAAATCTGGACAGCAAAAATATTTAATCTAGATACAAAATTATTTATAAAAAAAAAAAAAACTACTCAAAAGGACTCCATAATTCCATGTTAAGAAGCTAAGTTCAGATCCTCTTCTGAATGTGCCACATTTTTTCTGGTAGATCACCCTACTGAGAATTGCTGTCACCTTAGATAGACATGGGTACTAAGACATCGGACCTTCATCGTCCGACGAACCATAATGCTGCCTTACATTGAGTCCAGGAAAAACCGGTGGAATGTTTTGATTCATCGGCATAGGGCGGACTGAACTGTATATAGTTCTCTCATTGATTTTCCCAACTTCTTTGCATACCTGATCAAGAATGGAAAGGAAATCCCTTACCACCATGAATATCCGGAATGGGTGAGCTTCTTCCTTCGCTGAGTTCCCATGGAAGTACTCTGTTATTTCCTTAACCAAAGAAAGAGCAAGTTTCTCTTGTGCTTCAACCTTTACAATTTCTCCATCGGCCTTTGTTAAGAATCCATTCATTGATTCTGAGAACTTCCTGCTACTTTCTTTCAATGCAATTTCTTCATTTAATTTTACAACTTCCCTAACTTTCGAAATTCCCATGGCAAGTTTTGCAACTTCACTGCTAAGCACATCTGAATCCATTGCTGCAGCTTTCTTTACATTGGTGAGCTCTCCACTCAAACCAGAAACAACTTGCAGGCCCAACTTCCTAAATTCAACATCATCGTGGAAGGTGGATTGTTGAGTTTTCTCAGCTGTCTGATTCCTATTTGTAGTGGAAAGACGAGAACCTTCAGATCTGATGATTTCCTGTACAACAAAATGTAGAAGAGTAGTCCTCCCGTCAGTTCCCTTGACATCAACCAGCTTCAGGAGTGTGTCAAGCTTGAAGGCTTGGGCATCGCCACGATTGGTGCCAACATTCATGCGGTTCCCAGTCTTTAGCACTGCTTCTAGGAGCTTCAAGAACATTTTGCTGTTTCTCAATTCTTCACAAGCTGCCTGGAGAAAAAAGAAAGAAATGTGAGCTGCAGATGTAAGGTTACAGAAAATGTGCAGATGTATCCCATGTAGATAAGAAGATAAGCTGCAAAGGAAAATATGTAGCCACAAGAAGAAGATGCATTCCAGAACCTTTTAACAGGAAGAGTAGATGCAGAGACAATAAATTTCTTTCGGGATAGTAAAGCAGAAATTTTCTCGGCACCAAGCTTAGTAAATTCTGTACAATATGCAGACTTCAGTTTCATGAAATATTTGCTGCTCAAGTCAAAACATCGAGATAAGAACAGAACTACAACCCCACACATATAAATCCTGTAGTAACCAGAAAATAGAGATCCTCAGGTTTAGATCAAGCAAGTTCTGACTGCCCCAAGGGAAATTCAGTCTGTGGCATACCACAGGCACAGAGATGAAAGATCACGGATTATACAAATCAACAGCAGAAGGAAAAAGGACAAGGACATGAGGCATCTTTATGATAACTAGGTCGAATTCATCAGAAGATTTTAAGGTGTTAAAACTAATAAGCTTAAAGCAAGCAGAATAATGTGGTGGATACATGCTTAAACATGGTTTGCTGGAAGCATCTAGTAGTCCCCCAACTAGTGTCAAGCACGAATAAACAAATTAACATTTACCTCTAGAGTTTCAAAAGACCTTTTGAGGTATTCAACTTCTGAATCAAAATTAGCAATATAAAGCATTGCATCGACCCTCTTAAATGCAAAAGGAATATCAAGAACTTCCTTGAGAAACTTCTCTGCAGGGCCTAGCTTAAATGGAGACTCGTCCTTGAATTCCTTTAGCTTGCGTTCTTCTTCTTTAGTTGGAGCCATCTTTAATAAACTCTCCAGAAGCTCTGTCCCCAATGTATCTGAATTGCCTGTAAGATCAGAGACCAGTGATAATTAGAAAGATCAAAAAGAAAAGTCATTATCTCATAGCAGAAACATTTTCAGCTTTCAGTCATAATGAAAAATGTTTGGAATGGCAAAGATAATATCCCTCCAAGACTGTCTTTCTAGCAATCAAGATCATTATCAAACTTCCACTTCGTAGAACAATCTTGCCTCACTGAACTGGGAAATGAAATACTCGCTTTCAATCAGCCTTCACATAAAATAAAATCAACAAAAAGAAACCAACTTTTTCCACCTAAGCAATCCAAATTCAGGGTTTATACAAACTTTTCTGTTTTTGTTCATGAATACAATGATACTGGGCAACCGACATAGGTTTATGCATAACCAAACCAGCAATAGAATGATTCCTTAGCATGGGCAAATAAAAGATTATAATAACTCAAAGAAAGCACACAAACAGGTCGGCCATTACCTTCCAAAAGACCCTCACATACTTCATCAATGGTTACATTGAGAGCCCTCAACAATATTGCAACATTTTGAGACTTTTTTGGATCAAGCACACGATTCTCCTGGTTCTGCAATGGAAGAGACTGTCTCCGTCCATTGTTGTCTTTCACATTCAAATTTGAGTTGTTTACCATAAACAAGGTCTCAATCATTTCCTCATTCAATCTGCAACCATACAAAAAAAAAAAAAAAAAAAAAAAAAAAAAAAACATTCAATCTGCAACCATCAAAAAAAAAAAAAAAAAAAACAAAAAAAACCATTATACAAGCTTCCACAAACCATACTGAAAGTAAAGAGAACAACAAATAATAGAAATAAGAATAGAAAACACTACTGAAGCACAAGAAGCCCAAATAGCAAAAAACAAAATATAATAAAAATATTAACATGCCTAAAAAGGGTTAATCAGAATCTTCACTGAAAAGAACTAGATTGATCTGATCCCACAACATAGTCGATCCGAGCTTGCTCTAAACTTTTTATCCCAAATGTAACAGGCTTAAAAAAAAAAAAAAAAAAAAAAAAAAAAAAAAAACATTATACAAGCTCACAAACCATACTGAAGTAAAGGAGAACAAGCAAATAATAGAAATAAGAATAGAAACACTACTGAAGCACAAGAAGCACCAAATAGCAAAACAAAATATAATAAAATATTAACATGCTAAAAAGGGTTATCAGAATCTCACTGAAAAGAACTAGATTTGATCTGATCCCACACCATAGCTCGATCCGAGCTTGCTCTAACTTTATCCCAATGTAAAGGCTTCAATTTTGGTTTCAGGTTCTCTTCACTTCTCTCGACACTTGCATTAGTTTGCAATTGCTCATCACCTAAAATTGGCATTGCACTTTGAATCAAAACATGTCTTGAAGGAGTAACAAGAACAGGAGGCCCAGAACTAGCCAAATTCACTTCTCCACCCACTCTTGCCTCCGCAGGGATTTCCCAGAACAGCGGTGGTGGCGGCGGCGGCGGCGGCGGCGGAGGTGGCGGCAGTTTTGTAGACACAAATTGCTTACTAACACTCTCCAGGAAACCCGATTTTCGCTCTGGAGAGTTCTGGGTATTGCCTGAATCTCTTCCAGAAAAAGATGGTGACGAAGACAAGGAAATCGATAATGGCGATCGCTTCACCGGGGCAGGGAAAGTAATAATAACCTCTGGAGATATGGATTTTGAACTTATAGGGCTCAAATTTGAAACTGGAGAAGGACTGCTGATGGGTATGGAGTTTGCTGGAGAACAAGAATTAGAATATGGATAAGATGCCGTTCTTGAATTAAAGCTTCTAGACCCAAAATTATTTTCTCCTCGAAATTCTCTTCTGGAACTCGATTCTACACGTACTGGACTATCTTGAATCTCTTTTCGCCCAGATGACCCTCTTGGCGAAAAGAACTCTTCTTCCTCCTCCGTATCTGTGTCATCTTCTTTGTAAGACCCAACTAGTACCTCACCACTTCTATAACTAGGTGTATAGTTATGTTTTGGTAATGGCGGTAGTGGTTTTAGCTCTGGAGAACCTAGTTTTTGATATGGAGAAGATGATACGCCAATTTTAACTCCGGCATTGCTTGAATGAGTAGGTTTTTGATAATGATCGTCGACTCCGCTTCGAGAGTTTACTAATGTGCCAAGGTAGAGGAACTCTGAGCTGGTATTTGGCACGCCGGGCCGATGTGGAAGTTTCGGTGGCTTGGGAGAGCCGTCAGAAGGGATAGTATTAGGAGGGAAGAGGCGTAGACTGTCGGATCTTGAGGTTTTCTCGGAGGTAGTTGTACACTGGTGATGGTGGTGGTGATGGCGGCGAGAGTAGAGAAAGAAAGCGGATAGAGCAGCAAGAATGGCGGCAAAGAGGAGCGAGAGAGAAATAGCCATGGAAATGATGAGGTGGCGGTGGGAAGTCCCGGAGGAAGGAGTGTGAGGGAAAAGAAGAGAGGAAATGTTGGCCGGAAAAGTAGCTAGAGTTGAAACAGAAGGAGGAGGAGGGGGAGAAGGAAAAGAAGGAAAGAAAGGTTTCTGTGGCGTGTTTGGTGTAGTCGAGAAAGGGTACTTAGGTTGCGTCTGGGGTTTAGGTTGTATTTGTGGAGAAGGAAAAGGAGCTTGGATTGGAGGAACTACATTAGTTAAAGGAAAAAAAGGTTGGTGAAGGAGATGACGATGATGGTGGTGGCTGCCGGAGACAGCGGTGGTGAAGAAGACAGAGAAAATAAAGAAAATGCTAGTGACCGAGGAGGTGACCATTTTACTATATTCTTGAAATAGGCAGAAAAACACACACACCACAAAAACAGAGACTGTTTCCCCAGTTTTCAAGAGCTAGAGAGAGAGAGAGAGAGAGAGAATTTTAAACAAATATGTCAAAAAGAAAGAAACTTTGATCTTATTTAGTAACTAAACTAGAGGGGATAAACCAGAAACAAGAAAGAAGAAAAAAGAATCAAGCTTTAACATTTGATGCTATGGTGTTCGGTTTCTGGGTTTGAAACAGTGTTCTTTATTTAGTGGGTTTTTTAAAAAATATGGTTTAAGAAGAGCAGATTATTGAACATATGAGAGAACAGTCTGTATCTAGATAATGTGAGGGCCAAGAGGAGAGAATGTTAGTAAAAGAGAACAGAGGACTACTACATGGTTGGCGTAGAGAAGGAAGAAGGGAACAGTAAGAGCAAAGAGAATGGTAGTTCAGAGAGTTAAGAGTAGGAGTAAACAGAGCTACCCAATAGCTTATTTCACATAAACTTCATTTTCAACAACCCATAGACCTGTCCATCATCATCATCACTATCAAGAAGATGATAGTAGTAATTAGTGAAAGTGCAAAGTGTTGAAAAGGTTAGAGAGAGAGAGAGAGAGAGAGAGGGAAAAATGAAGAAGAAGAGGTTAAAAATGTCTGACAAGGAAAATTGTTCATTATTGGGATTTGCAATTATATTGTTTTTGTGGATGAATTGAAAGATTCTTACAAAATTTTATTTATCTGTTAGTAAAGTTAAAAAAATTACAGAGGAAGATGAGCTGTTCACACACTATGAAGAGGTTGGTAATGGCATGTATAGGAAAGCTTTTGTTTTCACACGGTGTGTTGTTGAAAAGTGATCATCTTGTGGGTTTGTCCTTTTTAACAAAGAACGTAGAACACAAACCAGGAATACTTTTTGGCTATTTGAATGCATGCAGTTGCACCTCCGTTGCTGCGCGTGGAGAATGGGTGCAACATTTTTTAATCCGTTTATTAATAAAGTATGGGTTAGAGTTGCCTAAACCCAATTTCTGTAACTCTATAAAGCAAAACAAACTTCCGTAGAATTTTAATGGGAAAATTTTTCTTATAAAGTCAATAAAGGCGAGTGAGATTTTTTATTGAAATGAAAATATTTTTAATTACATATTAAAAAAATATAAAATTGAAATATTTTTTAAAAATTTTTACTGTCTGGTCTAGATAAATAATTTTTAATTTTAATTGTCCCAATATATAATTTAATTACTGAATTTTCAAAAAAAAAAATGTCACCTGAAATTTGAAAATAGCCTTATGGCTTTTTAAATTTTATTTTTCTTATAATAATCTCACACTTTACGAATTAAAAAATAAACTCCAAACACATAAAAAAAGTGAAACTCAGGAGAATATAAAGTTAAAAAATAAAATTTAAAACGCCACAATATTATTTTCAAAATTACGTATTTAGTGAATTATAACTATATTTTTGAGATAAAAATCAAGTAAAATCTTTGTAATTATAAGAACAAAATTTAAAAAAAAAATCTTGAATAATGAAAATTGAAGGCAAATGATAGTAATGAGTGGAGCCATGGTCATATTTTAATAATTTTCCTATAATAAGCTTAAGAAATCTAATGATTAATTACATTATGTCACTATTATTGAATTTTAGTTATTAAACATGATTTTCTTGGATCATTGCTTGTTAAATGATGTTGACTTAAGATGCCTGTCTCCTTTACCACCCTATTTCAAAGATTACAATAATGGAATACAATTAAAAGTTTTTTAATCATTTTTATATTATTACAAGCTTCTATAATTGCTACATTAATTGCTAATGCCATTTTATTATGCTACAAATGGGGATAATAGAAAAGGAAAATTTTCTATATTTTTACTTAAATATAAAAAGAAACAAAGAATTTGATTTTTTTTTTCATTGTTCATTTAATTATTTAACTATATAATTATTAAATTATAATCGATCAAAACTTTTATGAGGGTGAATTAATATTTATTCCCTTTATTTTAATGAAATACACTATTTCATGACCTATTTTTCCAAAATTAATTGAATAGTGTTGTTTTTAACTCCATCCAACCAGCACATCCATATATTTTTTTCAATAAATAATTTCAGTTTTCAAATTTTGTGTGAATTACTATTTGAATCCCTATATCATAGCCAGCCAGCATATTAGCTTAGTAAGGATTCTTATTTCAAGACTGATTTTTTGTATTTTATGAACTTTCAATTATATAATCTTTTAGTATTTTAACTTAATTATTTTATATCAATACAGTGTTTATACTAATATTTAAAATATAAAAGAGCGGATTATGATATATATATATTTAATAAAAGGAAGAAGGTTTAAAATGCCCCTTAAATTTACTCTGAAATATAAATTGTCCACTTTTCATCTTTTTTGACAAAATACACCTTCACGGCTCGACCTTGACCGTAAAATTATAAAATTTGCCAATTTTTTTCTAGCGCGCGTCCTTCTTCTCTTACATGTTTATTTAACACGACAGATTCTTCTCCGGTTTCATCCTCTCCAAATTTTTCTCTAGATTTACTATCCCTCAACCTTATTCTAAGTGGAACAGCCTCTTCGAGTGCAATTTCTAGTAATAATTTATCTTTTCTCCTATATTTCCATTCTATACCTTTAGTCCATTGATTATTCCTTAATTGAGTATTTTTTTATCAAAATTTTGGATTTGTGTTGGCTTTCAGTAAGCAAAAAGAAGACTGCTAGTTGTTATTGAGTTTGTTTTGAATTTTTAAGCGGTTGGCTTGTAAGCAATTTGTAAATGCACAAAACATGAGAAAGAGAGAGAGAATATATAAAAACCTTAAAGTTCTAAATTGCCAAAATTAGTTCCCAGTTGAATCACAATCCCTAAGTCTTTGCATAGCAAAATCGAGCAAGAGAAAAGGAGATGATGAGTTCTAGCAGTCAATTCTCAAGCTCTTCAACTTTGCATATTAACCATCTGATTAATGATGCTATAATAATGATATATTTGTCTATGTAATTTTGCTTCTATGGCTATCTTTCTCAACAACTCCCGTGGGCAACTATATCGAAGGACCAAATGCGCTAAAGGGAGTGATAAATGGAACTCACCTTATTTTGGGAATGTTTGAATGGGACGCACACTGACCGAGGAAGAAATGGGCATTTTGTAATTTTATGGCCAAGTGGAATGTATTTGTCAAAAAAAGCTGAAAAGATGGGCAATTTGTATTTGCGGCCCAAATTCAAGAGGCATTTTGAACCTTTTTTTTCCTTAATAAAACGGTTAGTTAAACATCAGAGCAAATTATAAAACATATGTGTGATAAAACATTAGTTGAACAACTAATAAATACTAATGTCAAAAAAAAAAAAAAAACTAATAAATACTAAAGACAATTGAAAACTATTAAATTAGTTACTTTTATTGCCACTTAATATGGGAATAAAATATGATTGAATATATAAATTTACATCTGAACTTTACAACTTTTTGTGGTACCCTAAACTTTGCGGATGACATATTATGTATATGAATTTATAAATTTTCATAATATTACACACATTTTGACACTAATTTCAATAATTTTTAGGAATTTTGACTTTTATTTGCAAAATATCAATTTAACACGTAGTTAATATGAATTTTAGAATAATAATTTTCATAAATTTTAACGTTTTAATTAATGTTTAATTGATCTAATTTTATAAATTTAAGTATTCAATAAAATAAATTTAAAAATTAAAGTGTTTAATACGTGTAATTTTATAAATTAAAGAACTTGACGAGTTAAAGTAAAAGTTTGAAGTATCGTATAATTTACGAGTGAATAAATGTATTAGAGCAATAAACTGAGACATGATCAACGTTTGACCAGTAAGCTATTATCTAATTAAGGTCATGCACTGGTGGGCCATTGCAGTTTAAAAATTAAAATGACAAATGCATTGTTTCTTTCTTGTTTTTTTTTTTTTTCTCGAAATGAGCTTTCAAAGCATGGAAAGAATTTGAGGGATGTCTCTCGTGCCAGACAAACTTGTGTTAAAGCCTCATGCCCGAGATTTCGGGCTCTGAGTCATACACGACAAGGAGAAGGATTTTACGCTTGCCATGTAATCATTTTCAAAATTATATATTCAAATAAATTGTATTTCTAAATAAATTTTATTTATATAATTTAAATTTATTATTATTTAATATAAAAATACGCATCGTGAGAAAAAAAATTTTAAAATTGTATGAAACATGAAATTCAATTTAAATAAAAAAATACACTAGTAAGTAATTGCATTCATAACATAATTGAAAAAAATGTACATCATATCTCACTCAATTGGGCATTACTTGCTTATTAACAAAACTCATATTTGTAAAAATACGTAAAATTCAATTTTATAAATTGATGTGGTGGGGACTTGAGGACTTTGCTTGGGTTAGTTTCCTTACTAATGAAATTTTAGGATTTGTCAAAAATATTTTTCTAAAATATTCTTTTAATTTTTCTATCTCATATCCCTTTATAAAATTTTTGAAATCTTTTTATAATCTAAAGTTTCTCTGAGTTCGACACTTAGAGTGTATTTATTCCTATTAATGAAACACGTTATGTAAAATAAGAATTTTATTTCCTATTCAATTCTTGACTCCCTACTATATACTGCCTTGGGTTTGGTCGAACTTGATATCATTGCTCATTGTTTCTTGATTTTCTTACATGCTTGTATAGGGATGGACCGTTAAAAACCACGACATGCAAGTTCAGCGTTCGATTTGACCGATTCAGTCAATTAAATTAATTTCATTAATTCGATCAATTCGGTTCGGTGGATAAATTTTCGATTAAAAGTTCAGTTAAATAACTAAATTTTTGGTGATCGATTAAAGGTTCGATTAAAAATTAATTCAACCGACTCTCAAAACTATGTCATTTTGATTAAGTAGTAATTAATAACTTCGGTTAATTAAGTTTTTATTTTCTTTAAATTCGGTTTGGTAAATGATTAAAATTAATTTAGCCAAAACGATTCGGTTAAGTTTAGTTAAACAATTAGTTCGGTTAAGTAAAAAAAATTCGATTAACTTATTTCGCTTAAAAATATTGCTCAAATTGATCGAATTAACTGAATGCTTAATCCAAAATTTTTTACAATTTTATTTTGTAAATTTGTGAATTTTTTTAAAAATTTTTCATGAGGCTACTAACTTTATTGTTTGATCTATCATTAGTTTAAAATATATATTTAAAAAAAAAAAAAAAAACTCATTCAACTCTTTCTTGACATGGCACTATTTATCTTGGTATTATAATAATTGCTTTAATTTTCTATTTTCAAATGGTGTCCAACTGAAAGAATATATGTCTTGTGTGGCACTCCTCATCATTTATATTTTGAAACCACAAGTTAAATTTATATCATCTTTTAGCCATTAATGTTATAAAATTTTTTTTTATTTATTTTTATTGTTGATGTTATTAGGAGTATCGCTTTTATACGGACAAATACAAGCAATTAACGACCACAGTCCACTAGCAAGCAAACAACCAACCACTATTAATTTAGGGTATTTAGGGGATTTATTCTGCGATATTAGTTGTTTTACTAACTATTGATTGT